AAAGTAGCGGTTGATTAAAGTAGGGACTTCAGTATATATCATTTTGCAGCAATCTGTTCGGGACACTTGCAACTTCCGTGAAGAGGGTGTTGTGTGGAACCCGCCGAGCGCTCCAAAGGTGACGCAGTTTCTGGGAAACTTCAACAAAGGGCAGATGCTGCCCATCAAATGACCTCGGAAAGTGTTTTCAAGCAAGAACTTTTTTCTAGTCAATTATTTCTTCCGATTGCAGCCATAGATCTCGTTTAGACTAAGAGTCTTGGAAAAATTTGAATGAAGTACCTAACAATTAGAAGTAGATAGTCAACGTCCAAGAGACACTGACCACGTGGTAGCGGGTACTGGCGCCATAGAATTCGATGATTCGCTCCAATGTACCCTACCAATACTGCTGGGTACGAGGCCTCATCTATTTATTCTTGGTAATAGCGAGAAATGCGTATTCCTTCAGGAAGAATGGGTCAGGAAGGATGAGTTAGTGCACTTTCCACGGGTAGCGTACGTTTGCCTTACGAGGATGAACAGTAACGACTTTGTCATTACCCGTGGAGCACCTATACGAGATAACTTCAGAAACTATGGACCAAACTACTTGTACAAAACGGTTTCTACCCAGTGGGTAATCCTGCAATGCGTCCTCAAGTACAGAGTCAGTGATTACCAGTACAGCCCCTTCTTTGTGCAAGATGGTGCGGGCCGCATTCACCGAGTATTTCCACTATCGCGGCTAAGAAGCTCTTGATAAGAACGCCAGAGATCTGCTCTGATTATCCGGCACCGCTCCAAAAGTCGCCGTTCTTCATGGTCCTCGCTCATCAATGTGTCTCTCGTCAACCGCCTTCCGTTTCTCATTTGCACGCTCATGGTTAGTGCCTCTTCGCCGTACGTTTATACAATCTTAGAAGTACTGGAAGGCTTTTTTCAACGTTTCGGGGGACTTGCTTCGGTTTTCTTTCTCGCTTTACCAGCAGCTCAGGTATCTCAAACTCTTGTTCCTAAGCCTCATTGCTGACAATCTGCAATCGCGGCTTATGTTCCCAAACTCTGAATGAATCAGTCGCAGACCCAAGCGACTTTCGTTGGACTACGCGCAGTCGTCCCTAAACCGGTGCTCATTACCGTTAGAGTAGATGCACCTATTGTCGGTCAATCCACTGCTTTATCAGCCCTTGAATAATTGCTATATCGGACAAAGATAAGGCAGCGTTCAGCCTTCTATTCTATAAAGCAGAAACTTTGTGTGTCGGTTTGTCGGTATGTATGTATGTAAGTAAGTAAGTATGTTTGTATGTCTGTCCGTCCGCAAAATTCTTCACGGGATTAAACACGTTGAAAGAAGAAAACGACCGCTAGCCAAACCGGGAACCCATCGGTGCAGATGTATCAATCCAATGTTTTGATTGTGATAACAGCATATATAAGACAACCACTCGGTACACTCCGAGCCATTGCACGAGCTGCTGCCGTGGCAGCTGGACGTGTGCTCGTGCGGGGGCAGGGTGGGGGTGCCAGGTCGCCCTGCCTCCTTCTCCTGCATGTGCTCAGCTGGAGCTGAGCACATGTATTGGAGGAAGGCAGAGGGAAGGGGTCGCGGGGAGGGGGGGGGGGTGGGTACAGTGAGGCGGCGTGCGCAGGGCCGCGCGTTTCAGTAGAAACGCGCAACAAGGGATGAGGAAACAACCGCTAACAAAACTGCAAGCCAATCTATGTTACCCTAACGAACTAAGAAGTTGTGTGATAACACTCTCCACTATATAAGAAAACCACTACACTCCGAGACATTGCACGGGTTGCTCGCGTGGCAGTTGGACGTAAGCGCGTGCAAGGGGCAAGGTGGGGGGGGTGGAATGGCGAGTACGGAATGGGGTGAGGTGAGGAAGGTGGGAGTTAGTATCGAGTGACCCCCTTCTCCCATCCTCACTCCTTGCGCGTACTCAGTCGGATCTGAGCCCATGCAGGGGAAGGAGGCATATGGATTGAATCGGGCAAACTGGGTACAGTAAGGGGATGCGTAGCGTACGCTTGGACAGGAGCAGGCGGCAAAACAGAAGGAAAGAACCCCTAGCAGAACTGCAAGCTAATCCATGCTACAGAGCAAATCGAACTTAGGCAAGCTGCTTGGATAATCTTGGATAGCTCCCCAGCCAACCACTGTGATAGACTCTGTGCTATAGCAGGAGCTGCTCGCTTGGGAGCTGGACGTGAGCACGAGCAAGGCGATGGTAAGAGCAGTGGCGGCGTAGTGTCTCTATGTTGCACCAGCTGCTCACGTGGCGGCTGCATACCACGTGCGGGAGTGGGCGCCAGTTAAGTTAGGGTCAGTGGGATATGATGTGGTGAGGGGATACCAGATGAGAACGGCGATTTCGCGATTAGGAGCACATAGCCCTGCGGCGGTAAGGCGTCTACGGTTGCGACAAGATGGGAAGAAAATGGATCGACCGCAATCGGATCTGAACCGATTAATGTTGCATTATCAAATTGTGGTAGCGTTTTGATAGTCATAACACCCTCCACAACATAACACAACCATTTAGTGCACTCAGAACCATTGCACGGGCTATTCGCGTAGCAGCTGAGCGTGACCTGTAGGGTGGCTGAGCGGGGAATAGCTGAGGTTAGTTTGGGGTGAAGGGGTACCATATTGGCGCGATCGACGCTCGCCTGAACAGGAGCACGCAGCGACTGCGGAGACCGAAGCATCCATGGCTGTCATAAGATGGGGAGGAGAGTAATCGATTATCCATGACCAGATTTTGAACTTTTCATTATGAAAGTGCCCTGCGATCATATGGCGCTTTCTACATTCATTTTGATTAGAAGACAGCGGTTAGTCACGACTCTAAAGCAGTTGCTTGAGCCCGGCGAAGCTGGGGCTTCCAAGAAGGAGGAGAGCTCGGCGTTAGCCGGGCGATCCGACTGGTTTGTTATATCGGACAATAGATAAGGCGGCGTTCAGAGGGCTCGCGACGGCAGCGCCTCGGTGCGCGCGTTCGACGGCGATGCCGGCAGTTAAAAAGCATGCGCATCGATCGCGCCCGAACGCGCTACCAGGAGCTGCCGTCGCGCAGTCTGAACGCTGCCTAAGAGCAATCAAACCTTTATCAACATGTTGAATATTTTCGCGTTCTTCCGAGACATCGTAGAGTGGACTGACAGTACATATCTTCTTATCTGAATTCCGACAACATCAGATTAAGTTTATCGGTCCTGACCAAAATTTATTGGATGCGCAGCCCAAACTGTCGAATTTGCTGCTTTGAAATGCATGGGCAAGTCTCAGAGCAATCGACTGGATGGGACCATTGGTTAGTTTGGTTTGGATTAGATCCGAGATTTTGTCATGGAATCATGCGCGTAATGATCTTTCTCCACGAAAGCATGCCCGCCCAGGATCAAATAAGGTGCTTAAATAAAGGTTTTACTACAGAGGGAGTCCACGGTTTGTGGTTCGGGAAATTCCTTGATCTTTCGCAAAAACATGCACGCTGCCCAATAGCAATTTCGATGCGAAATCATGGCTTTGTTACCGTTCTTTATGCTTCAGGACGAATCCCCGCGATGGTTAAAGTTTCGCTCAATACTTTCTTTCTGGGTGGAGAAAAAGACAACGAATAACATGATAACTGCTGTTTTACGCCGCAGCTTGCGCTTCCAAAGTTATCAAAAGAATGCTGAGTTATGGGCAAAAGTCGAACCCCAGGCGGGAGTCGAACCCGCACCTCACGCTTTCCGGGCGAGTGCGCTATCCGTTACGCCACCAGGGCCGCTTTTACCCTCTCAGCTCAACGGCTTTTGAGCCGGGATTCGACATTTGCCCATAAATCAGCATTCTTGTGGTGACAACAAACTACGTTCCCTGGTTCCCATTGTGACGCAAATGGAAAGCGACAATTAGATGGTCTGAGCGAATCCCCGCGATGGTCAATACTTTCTTTTTCGGGTGAAAGGTCTTCCTCGGTCTGGATGTAATACGACCTCGGTTGTCCTAATCCGGGAACCCTCCCAAAAGTATCGTGTTTTGCCTGGGCCATTTTTCGCCTGATTCTTTCCCTTTTCCTTATAAACACTCAAAATCCCTCAGATGCATGTAGGCCTGCGTACTTGAATTGAACGGGCTGCCGGTGACCAGGTTCAAAAGCCACACCTTCTCAGTCTCGGCGATCGCGAGTGTATCTCCACGCTGCCTGGGCAATGGCGCTGCAAAACTGTTTCTGGTAGTTGAGCGGAGGTGTTTACCTTGCTGTGAAGGGAGCCGCACTGGAGGAGCCCAGAGCCAGGATGTGTCCCGATAATATAATAATACATATATACAGTCATTATTCCCGTAAGCAATGGAATTTGTGAAGGGGCATGAGTCTTCTCCAGTCGACAGCCCTGTCACGCGCCCTAGCCTTTGCAGTTATCGACTGTACCTACTCATGCTAGAATTTCGTGGATCACATACCTTGAGTCCAGTGATAATCATAACGGCGTAGGATAAAACACCGATGGCGCAGACCACTACCAGAAAATACATCACGAAGTAGTTCCTTATGTCTGGTAAACCACAATAGAGTCCCATATCTCTGCAGGTGATATTCTGGATACGCTGCTTCAATAGTCTTAGACAACACTGAGAAGTCAGGATTGTAAATAATGAGAGCCACCTGAAAGTTCTACTCAGAACAGTGTTCCATTTCATAACTTCACAAATGACGTACCCCTGTTGAAAGAGGTATGAAGGTAAAATAAGCCGATTACGGAAAGAATTCGCTTTACAGTGGGAGTACTTCCAGCTACAGTAATATACTTGTAGACCATGCACATTGCTATGGTCATAAAAGAATAGATATCGGTAACCAGCAGTAGAGATATGGCAGCAAGGGTGACTCGTGGCTGGTTAAGAAATCGAGCTGGTCCAATGGAGATATATGCTATAGAATTTCCAGTCATCACGAACCTAAACCTTGTCATTTATAGAGGCAGAAGCACCAGATGTCAATCGTTCCACTGGGTGAGCCACGCCTTGTCTCTTTTTTTCGTGCAAGTGCTAGAATGTAGATTCAGCCTGAAACAGCTGCAGAGATGAGGTCTTGCATGGGGGTCCGTGTTTTCCATCTCAAAGCATAACTTGTCTGGCTCGTTCTCGCATCTATTAGGTAATGGAGAGCAGAATGAATTCCGTGGACGTGAATTTCCTGGTAGAATCACTATCGCAATTCACAGAAACAATCTGTCTCTCTATCAGCAAGATGTTATGGTGAGAAAATCTCCTACGCTCAGTGAAAAGAACAGAAGTTCCATCCTTACATTAAATGGGAGTTGGTGTTATAGAGGCGAGTGCCCGTTTAGAGTCAATGCCTGTAACCACAGATGCTGGGTAGTGCAGCTCAAATACGGACGTAAAAGTGTTGAAGTGGTGATAGCTGAGAATAAGTGGCCAGAGAAAAAGCAGGGAAATCCGAAAGGTCCTAGATGGGACACTCGATGGGAGACTCGATTTCCACTCCCTTAGGATATCAGCTGTTTTCCTGTACCGCCTCTATCTCACCTTTCCGAGTAGAGAGAGCTAACACAGAGGCTACTAGCTAGCAGCAAAAAACCACTGGGGACTGGCGTGGGCCTAAGATGAGGGATGCTCATGGGCCCAAGTGTTTTTTACCAAAATTCGTGCAGTTTTTCTTTTTCTGAGTACAGCACAGCCTCCACAATCGAATACACGATCATTTGGCAAATTCGAAAGGTTGTCGCCTTAGTTATCGCGGAATGTCTTTCTTGTGCTTAACACATAACGCTGAATTGAGGGATAAAATGCAGTGAACGCTGTACTGTTGTGATATCCGTTAGTCGGTGATATTTTGTGTATGCTTCGCCTATTGATTCTCGCTTCTACCGACTCGGCACACGCGAGAAATTTACGTCTTTGTTTCGAGGGTGACCACACTACGGTATGGTTACGGTATGAATTGGCTTTTTCTTGAGGGGATTCCCTACCAGCAATGTCAGGAACGCCTCAGGTATGGCCGAGATGCTTTGATGGGGTAGGATGGGGATCTGTAACTGCGAAGGCAGCAATCAGATCTCTGAAAGCGCCGACTCAAGCCGCAACGCTGGGCGCATATTTAATAAATGTTCCACTAACAACCCAGCCAGGCCAAGACAACCAAAAGAGCAATACAACTAACATGCCGAGGTCGCAAGAAGCTGAAGATATTATAGCTTACTTTCTGTTGTTTTTAAGCTAGGACGCTCTTGTGCTAGTATTCGTAGAGTGCGGCTCGCATGCGTTTTCGTAGCACAAGATCCTTTGTGGCCGAGGTCTTCAGGGTCGAAAGACACTAGCTTCCGAATACCAGTCCGGTATGCCAGCTATCAATGCCAAATGTGGCACAGTGGGATAAAAGATTTATCAAGAGACAAGAGCGGGGCAACTTGGAAAGGTTCTGAATAGACTGTGGAGTTTCCAATTGCGATGAGTCGCTGCAGCAAGCCGCCTGCTACACTCCCTTGCGACCACTGTATGGGCCACTAGGATGTATTCAAATCTTGTTGGGCCATCTTTTTTTATACTATTCCGGAACCAAGACAAATGAGTGAGCATATTGATTTCGACGAGAGTATAAATAAGGTAGCAGAACAACATGTCACAAAACTCACCGTAACTGTAAGAAGAAGGTTAAGAACGACAATAGTAGCAACGTGAATGTGGTATTTCCTAGAAGGATACGGTACCGCTGTTGGATAGCTTCGTGTTTGAGAAAATAATAAGGAACAATAAGAAACCATTAAGAATTACTCCTAATATAGTGTAAGCGCAATACATTGAAGAGAATAAGTAGTCCAATTTTTCTTCTTTGGCGACAACAGACTCCATTGGCTTCCTTGCACTGTGGCCAAATCTGCAAGCATCAAACGGATGAAAGTGGTCTCAACAGCAAAGCCAAATTGAAATTGGTTCGTGAATAGCTGTTTAGAATGGCTATGAGACCTCATCGACCTCCCACAATGTAAGAAGGGGTGGGGCGAACTGCAGAAGCGGTGGTAGCGAGGCAACTCGTCCGGTTGGCGTGGGCGTGAAAGAGCACATGGAGGGCAAGAACAGTTCACGCTTGTCAACGGTCTTGGGAGCCCACAGGGTTGAAATCCATAACGGAGAAGATTTTGGGGTTGCGGCTGAGGTCTTGGCACGAAGCGCCCAAATGGAGCCCAAATTTCTGCGCGAAAAACCTTCGAGAATTTGGTTCCAGGTCATCGATCCAAAAATGAAGAGGAAAGAAGAGTCTCACTATCACGCGAGAGCTAAGACCTTAGATAAGGATGGCCTTCCACGAGGTACCTTGAACAAAGAATAGTCCGACTTTGTTCAACAGTCAGCTTCCTTTAGTATCAAGGGTCGGACTGGCCTTTCAGGCTCTGATGGACGGGCGGTTCCTTCGAAGCCGTACGTAAGCTGATAAACTCTGCTGCCATCTTCGCGAGAGATCCACAGAGGAAGTCAACAAAATTCCTTTGTGTACTGAACAGAGTAGAACTTACGACATTGGTTTTGTGTTGGATATCAGGCGAACACAGTAAAACTCCATCGTAAATACAGTGCGTTACACCAGTATACGTCCACCCCTTATTTTATTGAGAACATTTTTGAAAACATTCAAAAATGTTCTCAATAAGGTTGGAGAATCTCATCGCAAGGGTCGTTCGCTGCCGGGGAGAGGGATCGTGCTGGTCAATGGAGTTTGTATCTTACACTGAGAGAAACTTTTTCAAGAACTCCAAAATTTACTACGATTAGTGGCTTCTTCCAAATTCTCCCTTTTCAAGAGCGCCTTACACTCTCTCTCCTACTTGATGCCGGTGCACAGTAGCACGCATCACTAAACTTGACTTTCCCAACTACATGACTACTTCTTGAGAGACAAATGAAAAAATTTCCCTTCAAATTAGTTTTTTGTTGAGAGGCGAAGCAGCATCGGTAATTCTCACATTCTATGCCTGCGGGGCTCTTTTTAGAATCGTCGTGTAAGATGAGATGTCGTTGGATTTGCGGGTGAGATTACCATTATGCGTCGCAGTGTACTAGCTGAAATTGGCAGTACTTCGATGGCGACCCGTCCTTCCGCTCCACAGCATCTTTACGGGGTTTACCCGGAGAGAGCCCGATAAATTGGTAGGATTTTGGCGGACATGAGCAAAATGCTCAGCTACAGTGGGGAGTAAGAGAGGGGGACGAGGTTCCCTACTGACACCGCCGTTTCGTATACCACAAACCTGTGCCTTGTATGAAACGACAAATGCCAGTTAAAAGCGAACGTGTCGACGTGCTGGGATGAAAATAATGGTAGTCTGTAAGTGTGTGACATCACTGGTGGCAGTTGGGTTGTCTAACGCGTGTGAAAGAAAAGGTCGAGCCGGAGCGGAAGGTGAAAAACAATTAGCAACAAAGCAGTCACTCATGAGAAGAGATGCTCAACTCTTTTTCATGCACCAGTAGCTCAAATTAGAGTAAAGACGAAGAAGCGACAAATAAGGAACTATGGCTTGATTCACCCAAAGCACATACGTAAGCTCTCCCTTTCATTCTTGACATTTCACTTAGTCCTTGAGAGGAACTTTTGTTGCCATCAGAGAATTCAACTACGAAATTCTTTTTCACCTGTACTCCATCTTTCACAAGAACGCGCTTACGTTCTGAAGCTTGTTAGCAGGTGTTATAGTGAACCGCAAACCACTCTGATCCTTGATCCTTATCAGAGACCGTGCTTATGGGTACGCGTAATTTTTGCAGGAAGCCCGAACCAGTTCATGAAATCGAAGTTAAGTTTGGAACATAATCAACGAGTGTGCTAGTCGCTCTGAATCAACACAGGCGATTTCGGAAGAAAAACGTAACGTACGAACAACGGCAAAGGTAGAATGAGCTCTGCGAGCTTAGCTCAGGTGGTACATTGCGTAGATCTGTTACTGGTAAATGAGGTGAATGCGTTGTTGTGCACACCCTCTTGATCAAGCCATAATCGGATTGTGTAAGGTTTATTGTCAGTCGAGTATTAGGCGGCGTAATTGCATTTGATACATAGTGCTCGCATATCATGATCATCGTATTGTTATACATACATTGCTTAACGAGTAACATGTGCATACATGGACCGGCGAATAATGTGTGTTAATGTTATGTGATAATACTGCCGGTTATGAATGGTAATCGCTAACATATGGTGATTAATAATGGGCGTGACTTAAAGGCACGGTCCGCGATCAGGTATCGAAGTTGAAAATATGGCGTCAGGAGGTTAGAGTGGTCCGCGACGAACAACCTTGTACCGGTTTCGCGGCAAAAAATTCTATGGGAGGGGCGCTGTAGCGCAATATAGGTTCAGTGGCTCCTCCTTTTTTCCAGTGACTCCGCCTCCAGACTCCGCCCCTAATGACCGACTTCCAGTGAAAAATGAGATTGCAGGACGAAAAAGCATGATAATCGCCACTTGTACGATCGTAGAAATCTTATCGGTGAATCAGCCGTGCATATGAGGGCGTAGTTTTGGAGATAGAGTTGATTGGGCACGTACAAACTGGGATCGAAATGGGGTTCTATCTAGGGCAGGTGGCATGTTTTTTGTGCTTTTTTGTTCACAGTCGAGTTACTCAACCCCTTGTCGTCTATATGGAACCCCCTAATCCACCATCTGAGATGGCGAATAATCGCGGGTTCTGCCTTTAAGGGCGCTGCTGCTACAGGTAGGATAACATGCGGTTAATCAATAGTATGATACATATGATTTTACACATACACTGTTACAGTACTGCATAAGGTGATTAAGATAGATTCAGATCTTATGGCAGGACGAACGTAGGCCTGAAAAGCTTTATTGGACTTCCATCTTCCCATCTGCATAACCTGAGAACTATCAAATCCCTGCTCTAAGGCCGTAGATGCTGCACCCCCTCTGAAACTA